AGAAAGCATCGGCGCTGAAGGCCATAGCGGCAAGTGCAAGAAGGCTGATCTTCATTGTGATATATTGTATGTTTGTGTGTATTAATGAAGGGTTCAGAGTGACCTTTGTCGAAAAATGTGACTGTGTGATTTTGGCTTTGGTATCCGTTTTGGCCTGCGAGGTTGGGGTTCCGCGTGTACAAAATGTACCAGAGCAATGCCGTTTTGCTGCGTTGCCTGTTGGCATGAAGATTGGACCTCTCAAAAAGTTCTGTGATCTATCATTGGTTATTTTTCAGTCATATAGGTCACTTCAAATCGTACTTTGCCTCCTGACGCGACAATTTTTTGCGAGGTCTTTGCGATACACCCGCGGGCTTTATTGGCACTCTACGGGAGAATCATATTCAATCGACCTCACGTACACTTTCAACTTGATCAGAAGCTAAATTAACATACCTGGGACTAGTCGACCTCGCATTTCAAATTTTTACAACGGCCTATTCAATATGTCCCACGTCATATCTGGGACCAAGATGATTGATTCGAACACTCTTCACATATTTTTCTTTCTTACCCAACATGCAGTGCCTGTTGATTCTCCAAATTGTACTGTATGTATATTCTATAAATTGTATGTAGTAACTACAGTACTGATTGTCTAAATTGTAGTACCTACAGTTTTGACTGTACAGCAGGACTACTATGGTAATAAAGTAGTGCAATCCAAATTTCGCAACCCACTCTCGAATAAGTCATTCGGCACAAAGAAGCGGATAGCAGTACAAATTCGATTGCTGTTGAAACAGAGGTTCAGTCCATGAAACATTGTCATCTGATGCCACCGGTCAAGGGGGCAGCATCGGTGGATCGGTCTGGTCCAAGTTGAACATTCGAGTTTTCCCACATTGCTTCCCCGTTAGTCTGTCGGAATCATAGCCTTAACTTTGTTTCGGCCAAACCCAATTGCCCATCAAACACCCAACTTTCACTGGTAATAGGTCCCGACATGTGCCATGCATACCGAGGCCCAATGACACGAGCTGAATTAGATCGCCTTGCTCACTAGCTCACTTAGAATGCTTCCTGTGGTGTGATTTGTGTCAGCTCCTTTGCTATTCCCAACTGTCACTCGACTGTATGCAGCTAGTCCAGTGCATGGGCTAGACTAGCTATATTTGTCTGCTCTCGGGGGCCAGGCTTGCTTGTTCTCAGCAACTCTTGAAAATAATGTGTCTGATTCCTGGAGACCACAGAGAGTCTGTCGTGTGGGTATGTATGTTCAACTCCATAATCCAGTTTTTGTACTCGATTGCCACTTGCTACTATAAATAATCCATTCTTCGGTGACAACAATGGAAAAGACTTGAATTGATTTTGCATTATTCCTCTCACCCCAATCGTGACGAAACATGGCATCAACCATTCTACCGGTACACTGTACCTATACCGGTAGGTTGAAAGCACTATTCCTTTTGACTCAATGGACCCAATATGTGATGTTCCCTAAACATTCTTCATTCAAAAATTGACCATGATGCAACTTGCCAGTTTGCTGATCTTGTGGGGCTGTCTGATGTCAACCAGCGTACAGGCAATCACTTCAGATGACGTTTCAACATCGCCCCTGAAACAATGGGAATCTGCCTTTGCTGCATCATCGGCTCAGAGCAGTTGTCTTGCAATGAAATACAATAACGAATGCGTCCTCCTGCTGTACCGCTCCCCACTCAGCAATCGGTGGAAACCCTATTCGTCGTCATCATATGCGCCTACCCAATCAACCGAATTATTAGGTCTTCAAGTGAGACCCGTCGAGTCGACTGTAGTTCAACACGCGCCGTCATGGATGTCCTTTCCAAATGCTCAAGTCTTGGCCATGACTGGCTTTGCTCCTGATGTCGACCATTTGGCTCGTTCCATCCAGAAGCATGCCGACAATCATGAAAGCACCTACGAAGAATCAATGACTACACACTCCATGACTACGAAATTGGCAGCAGTAGTTCAAAAGGCAGCACAATCTGGAGGACGTCCCTTTGGGTGAGTTCAGCGAATGAATCTGATTGAACCAACCGTCGTTTGTGACGCCATAATCAGGACCTCGTAAGATTCCCGCTGACCAATTCTGAATTTTCCTTTCACACAAAATAGCGTACAGGCCCTGTTGGTTGGTGGGGATGACATCGATCCTTCGAGAGGACTGTGCATCTATTCGATTGACCCAAGTGGAAGCTGGCAGTCTTGGGGGAAGGGTGCTTCCATTGGCCGATATTCCAACAAGCTGCGGAAAGCGTTGGCAGAAGCATTGTCGTCGTCGTTGTCAGCGACAACTCTCCAGGAAACTCTGTCACAGCTGATTGGCTGTTGGGTGGAGACTCGCAGGGCCGAAAACCTTAGTGCGTCGGAAGAAGAAGATCTTGAGGTGTTGGTGCTTCAACGAAATCCAAAAACTGGCCATTCTGGGCTCTTCATTGTCGACAATGACCATGTGAAGAACATATTCACAGATTTGTCGAAAACCACTCCTCTGTCGTGATTATAAAATTCTAGTTTTAATTGTCGAAGAGTGGAGGATAACGAGAAGGTCTAAACAACTGTTCTGCTGTTGCATAAAATCAGATGTATGCGTCGATTGAATTAATGAAGGACAATTATACTAGTTTACAAGTTCAAACGTGACATCGATTCACAGCCTTACAGCATGTCGTGCTTGACAAGAACAGATTGGATGCTCTCAATGATGACATTTCCCAAATCTTCAAAGTCTTCGTCTTCCCATTGCAAAGGCATACGGCAATCACACGCAGTCTTCAACATATCGGCGGTCTCTGGAAGTGGTGCATCAGCGGGAGCAAATCCCCAGTTGACGAAGTTTCTGGCGTTGGTCTTGTGTCCGAAAAGCTCGACGGGAAGTCCGTGGTCACCGCACTCCTTCAAGAATTCTTCAATCATTGTTGGTGTGAACTTGGGGTCCAAGTTGAACTGGATAGAGTCGTGGACCATGCGAGTTACTCCAGGCGTCAATTGAGGAATGTACATGTGATCACCGACGGCGGCCTCCAACTTGGCCACCAAGTCGTTGTATCTCTTGTTGTACTTCTCGATTCTTGGCTCCAATGTCTTGATCTGAGGACGGACGACGGCGGCGGCCAAGTTGCTCATGCGGATGGAGTAGTTGGGAAGTGCGACGGACTTTCCTTCGAAATATTCTGGTCCTGGAACAGTCTTGTGCTTGGAGTTCAAGGATTCGTACGCACCGGCGATAACGGCGGTTTGGGCAGCAATTTCCTCATCATCTGTCAACAAGAAACCTCCCTCTCCAGAGTTGATCATCTTGTAAGATTGACTGGAGATGGCACAGGCGATACCCTTGTGTCCAGAGTGTTCTCCCTTCCAGTATACACCAAGAGAGTGAGCGCAGTCCTCAAGAAGGATGGCGTCGTACTTCTCACAAAGCTCGGCAACCTTGTCCATATCAGCTAGCTTTCCACGCATGTGCGACACAAGAACGTGCTTGCAGTCTGGGTTCTCCTTGAGCTTAAGTTCAAGGTCGACAGTGTTCATGACATGGTCGGCGTTGGACTCAACGTACACGGCCTTTCCTCTGGCGTGCTCAATGGCAGATGGGACAGCTCCGAACGTGAAGGCATTAGACAAAACCTTGCCTCCTGGTTCAAGACCTGTGGTCTTCAACAAAAGCATAAGTGCTGATCCGCACGAGTTGAGGGCTACACAGTACTTGAAGCCAGTGTAGTCGGCAATCTCCTTCTCGCACATGCTGACAACGCTGTCTTCACCCTTGGCGATGTTGTAACGATACAGCTTTCCAGACTTCATCAATTCGAGGGCCTCCTTTTGGCCTTCTTCAGGAACTGGGTCGGGCATCTTGATGTCGTTGGTAACGTAGGCGCGGTCCTTCAATCTAGATTGTTTGAAGAGGTGAAAAAGAGAGGTGAAAAAGAGAGTGTAAGTAATTGAAACATTGTAAAGCAAGACATTTGAACTCGGTCAGAAACTCGTCGTTGTCGTGGTCGACGACGAGCCAAAGCAGTACTTACTGGTCGGCAATTTTGGATCCAGTCTGTTGTGTATTGACGGTAGAGAAAGCATCGGCGCTGAAGGCCATAGCGGCAAGTGCAAGAAGGCTGATCTTCATTGTGATATATTGTATGTTTGTGTGTATTAATGAAGGGTTCAGAGTGACCTTTGTCGAAAAATGTGACTGTGTTTTGTAGAATATGAAGCTTTCGATTTTGGTTTTGCCGGCACTCCCTGTACAAAATGTACCAGCATTGCCTCTCAAGAGGTCGTTCATGTCGGCATCAAGATTGGACCTCTCACACAAATTCGGTTTGCGAGTGTTTTAGCCTCATCATTGAAGTCAATCAAGTCAGTCATTTCGCCTTTTGGAATCGTGACAGTATTGATTAGTATGTTGGCCACATCTCTTGAGTTCCGTCATCTTTGAAAATGATCATCTTAAGGGCATGTTCACACATTTGCCTTGAACAGTTTTCATGATATTTCAATATTTCTAGTTCTAGTTCTAATTGTATTTATGAACATCGAAACAGATTTTTGTTATTTGTCGTGGGTCGTGGCAAAAGTAACAACGGCGACCCATTGAGAACCATCGGCAACATTCACCATGCCGTTGAATCAAATCAGTAAATATTGCGCTACGTCAGGTTTGAGTTCAATAATGGAAGATTCTAGTAATTTACAAATTCGAGTGGACCATGAAACAGCCTTACACCACTTTCATCTTGGATATATACATTTCGTTCGTTCGGGCGAATGCAATCAAAACAGTGTTTTTGATTACAGCATGTCGTGCTTCGCAAGAACGGCTTCAACGCTCTCAATGATGACATTACCCAAATCTTCAAAGTCTTCATCGTCCCATTGCAAAGGCATACGGCAATCACACGCAGTCTTCAACATATCAGCGGTCTCTGGAAGTGGTTCATCAGCGGGAGCAAATCCCCAGTTGATGAAGTTTCTGGCGTTGGTCTTGTGTCCGAAAAGCTCGACGGGAAGTCCGTGGTCACCGCACTCCTTCAAGAATTCTTCAATCATTGTTGGTGTGAACTTGGGGTCCAAGTTGAACTGGATAGAGTCGTGGACCATGCGAGTTACTCCAGGCGTCAATTGAGGAATGTACATGTGATCACCGACGGCGGCCTCCAACTTGGCCACCAAGTCGTTGTATCGCTTGTTGTACTTCTCGATTCTTGGCTCCAATGTCTTGATCTGAGGACGGACGACGGCGGCGGCCAAGTTGCTCATGCGGATGGAGTAGTTGGGAAGTGCGACGGACTTTCCTTCGAAATATTCTGGTCCTGGAACAGTCTTGTGCTTGGAGTTCAAGGATTCGTACGCACCGGCGATAACGGCGGTTTGGGCAGCAATTTCCTCATCATCTGTCAACAAGAAACCTCCCTCTCCAGAGTTGATCATCTTGTAAGATTGACTGGAGATGGCACAGGCGATACCCTTGTGTCCAGAGTGTTCTCCCTTCCAGTATACACCAAGAGAGTGAGCGCAGTCCTCAAGAAGGATGGCGTCGTACTTCTCACAAAGCTCGGCAACCTTGTCCATATCAGCTAGCTTTCCACGCATGTGCGACACAAGAACGTGCTTGCAGTCTGGGTTCTCCTTGAGCTTAAGTTCAAGGTCGACAGTGTTCATGACATGGTCGGCGTTGGACTCAACGTACACGGCCTTTCCTCTGGCGTGCTCAATGGCAGATGGGACAGCTCCGAACGTGAAGGCATTAGACAAAACCTTGCCTCCTGGTTCAAGACCTGTGGTCTTCAACAAAAGCATAAGTGCTGATCCGCACGAGTTGAGGGCTACACAGTACTTGAAGCCAGTGTAGTCGGCAATCTCCTTCTCGCACATGCTGACAACGCTGTCTTCACCCTTGGCGATGTTGTAACGATACAGCTTTCCAGACTTCATCAATTCGAGGGCCTCCTTTTGGCCTTCTTCAGGAACTGGGTCGGGCATCTTGATGTCACGTGTAATGTAAGCGCGGTCCTTCAGCCTGGATGTGTAAAGGGATAAGAGGAGAGAGAAAACAAAAGGTAAGTCAATGGAAAAAGAGTGAAAAGAGTACAAAGGACGGCAGCTTCACCAGGTAGTAACAAATTCGTCGTCGACGACGAGCCATACTTGAACTTACTGGTCGGCAATTTTGGATCCAGTCTGTTGTGTGTTGACGGTAGAGAAAGCATCGGCGCTGAAGGCCATAGCGGCAAGTGCAAGAAGGCTGATCTTCATTGTGATATATTGTATGTTTGGGTGTATGAAAGAAGGGTTTTAGGTGTGACTTCTGTCAAAAATTGTGACAATACGGGGAGAATGTGTCTTTGGGAATGATTTGGCCAGCATCGCTTTGCGTATGTAAAAATGTACTAAGATTGCCTGTTGGCATGAAGCTTCGACCTCTCGGTAAATTCTCTGCCAAATGGTTTCACCCGCTATGAAAGACCTCTTGAACGGCAAAGTACCACAATGCAACTTGAATCTTGCGTGTTCGACTTGGAGTACGGACAGACTTCGCCTCTTTCGTTGGTCATTTTCAATTTGTGCGACAAATATTACGTGTTTGGTTCCAACGCGTAATCACGTGGTCCATTTTCGATTTTTTGTGGCTTGGAAGCAAAGTTTGATAGAGCATAAAACACCCATGTGATGGACACACAGACTTGTTGACTGTTAGGTCGTGTTGGTCGACCGGCCATTGTGAGTTTCATCGTATCGGGTGAAAGTTGAGAACCGGTTTTCAACTGGTACCGGTAGTATTTGCTGTAGCACAGCTTGCCCGCTCCAGTAAGATTACTTCAAATTGTGTCCTCTATATCTATCTACGGTTTCTATACGTATATATATATTCACCTATTTCGTCGTGCCTTCTCGAGCAATCATATTCATCTGTTCCTTTGTGCGATGGAAAAGAATCTTCGGCCGCGCACTTCGCAGAGTTCTGGTCCTACCAATGGAATTGTTGGTGAGACTATGTGTGGGTTCTGTTTTGTGAGTTGTCTGAGTTTTTCCTGTGATCTTTAGCACGATCCAAGATATTTCTCAGAAAGACCTCAAGTATGTACTTTGTCAAAGTTTTTACGTGGCTGGCTTTGAGCTTCACCTTCAATCTAGTAGATTCGTTCAACCCCACAACTCAATTAGTTCTTGAAAGTCTCCTTCGTTTTCGTCCATGCTCCAAGCATGCTCCAAAGGGTTCCAAAGTCGGATGGCATCCGCCTTTGTCCCCCCAGATGTTGCAAGTGTAGAATCCTTACAAAATTGAATGGAGCACCAAGAGGTAGTATGAAAGTAAGAAAGTACACAAAGTGGTACCCCTGTTTCTGTGGCAGTCTCCATTTTCCAGAAGAAAACACTACGATCGCAGCAACCAGCGGCCAAGATTTTTCCATTGGGAGTAAAGGCGATGGAGTGGACCTCATCTCGCATTCTCAATATCCCCTCAAACACTAATTGGTTGGACGCTGTGGCATTCCAAATTCGAATGGTAGAGTCCCAGCTTCCAGTAGCAAAGTAATGTCCATCTGGAGAGAAGCGAACACTTGTGCAGCGCCCTTCGTGGTTGTGCATCATCTTCCCGTTGGGAGCTACTAAAGTTTCGATTGTGGACTCCTCCCCTAGATCATTCCATATCAACAATCGTCCAACATGATCCGATCTCTCCACCGCGGCAATCAATCGCCTACCATCGGGAGAGAAATCAAAGGCGTTGACTTGATAGTCAATACTTTCGTCTTGTAGTACTCCAATACAACTCTCATCAGTTTGCCACAATCGTATCGAGCCATCCCTTCCAGCCGATGCCAATACAGTTGGGTCCACTGGAGAAAACACCACCAACCAAACGGTATCGGAATGGCCTTCCAACACACTGTCCTCCTTTGCTTCTTGAATGTTCCATAGTCTTATGGATCTGCCATCCCATCGGACCGAAGCCAGAGTCTTGTTATCCTGAGAAAAGGACAGACAATTGACACCAAGATTCTGTCGCACACTTTGCAAACGGGTTCGTGAGCCATTGACACAATTCAAAATTTGGATACCACCTGTATTAGCGTCCCCAATAGCAAGGTAGTTTCCTTCTGGTGAGAACGCCAAAGTACTGACAAACGAAGCCACTTCCAAGTCAGTCCGAAACGGCCATTTGGCTATCGTTGTCTGTAAGAGGTGAGACTCGTACAACTCCTTACTTGTCGAACACAGTTGATTCTGTGAGTGTCTATCCAAAAATGGTAGCACATGCTCGGCCCAAACATTCGGTGGGATTTCTATTTCATATTTCATTGACATCAGACATCTCCTACAACAATAATAGTCGCTTGTATTGTTCTCGTGTTTTGAGTTTTCTTCTGATTTTTCAAAATGAAGTTAGAGTCCTCCTGGTCGATTATTGTCGATTCTATCCATGTAATATCAATATGTGGTAGGTGTGCTTGAAGGGATTGAAAGAACATACTGTAGTGTAACAGCCCAGCATCTATCCCTGTTTTAGTTTATCTATTCCTTCTTGTAATTTTGCAGCAACTTCGGCTGCTCCGGGGCGTTTGAATTGGTCTTGAGTATAACACATTTCAATAGCCTTGATCATGTACTCGTCGAATGGATGAGTACTCGCAAGAATTTCATCTGATATTTTTGGCCGCTTTCCCTTCTTGACCTTCTCATAGACTTCTTTGGATGGATAGTCATTCCAGGGATATTCTCGCGTTAGCATAAAGTATAGCACATTGCCTAGGGAGTACACGTCCACCTTTTCTGACTCTTCTTCATAGGCATATTCTTCCGGTGATCTCCAGATTCCACCATTCTTGCCGACAGTGAATCCGCAAGGTATGTTCCGTCTCTTGTTCCACAGCAGAAATCGCACTCTATTGAAATCAGTTAATTTGTAGTATCCATCCTGCACCAAGAATTGATCTGGCTTGATATCCGTATGGGCGAGAGTTGCTCTGCCTTGATCGTCAAAGTTGTGAGCGTGGGCAACGCTAAGAGACACATTGTAGGCAATTTCCAACAGGTCATCCTTGGAAATATCAGGATCTCGTTGATATATATCTTCTAGCGTTCCTTGGTCACCCCAGTCAAAGACTGCCGAGTTGGTACAAAAGGCATACATGTCCACAATCAGCGGTGAGGATGTCAGCTGCTCAAAGGAAATGGCGTCGCGTCGGTGTCGATCAAAACTTCTCAGATCAAAGTCTTTTCGTTTCGAATCTACCCGGAGTGTTTTCAAGGCTCGTTTCGTTTTCCCATCCCAATCAAATATCTTGAATACTTGACGAAAGGCTCCCGCAGCAACCAGTCTGGTTTGTTCTATCGAGTCCCATGCAATGTCATTGGAATCCAACTCGTTCAATGTTTCGGCTTGGTTGTCCCCCAGCAAATGATCCCAACCATAGGTAGCCTCGTGAATAATATTGCACGTTGGATCGTGGCCTCGTTGCCAATCGTACATTGGCTGGCAATCTCCCTTGTCCATCGAGTCGGGACCTTTCAGTAATTTATTTTGTCTTGGCAATGGATTGTATCGATCCACCAACTGTCGGTGTCCTTCTTCAGGAAGCGCCAATGATGATGCGTCCATTACATTGGAGAGTACCCGATCTTCTTCCGATGTCTGTTGCAAACTCAAAATTCTTGGTTTGTCGGTAAAATGCGGCCTATGTCGAAACTTTTCTGGCAATTTATCTGGTTCTTGTTCTGTCAAAGGTGATATTGGTAACGTGGAAAAAATGAGAAAATACCCAATGAGAAAGGACCCCGTCGCCAGAACTATTTGCAAATACCGAGGCATCATGTGAAACCTCAGCGTGACTCGATGAAAGGCCATTAGTGATGAGGATCTTGACTTTTTGGCAAGTTCGCTATCCGAGTCACCTATTGACGAGTTGCTGGGAGATATGGCCAGTGCCTTTGGTTTGGTCTTGGGCGATCTCATTCGCAAGTTGTGGGATTGAGGTGTTTCAATGGTTTTCTGTTTGCGTGTGTATGATGTATACTCTCTTGTCCAACGCACACAGCAAGTCTCGCCAATCGAAAGAAGGCTTCACACACACACACACACACACAAGTTAGCAACGGCAAGGGCAATGCCCATGACCTTTTGGTGTCGTGGATGATTTGTTCGACCAAATGACAATTTTGCCGATAGTACTTCCATAGTGTCACAAATAAATGCTATTACAACAAACACCCATCTGATCGATTGAACCCGTGTGCATTTCTCCCATCAATCCACCATCCTACTACTACAGTATCGCATACAGCCACCATGTGGCAACACAAATGGGCCCTTTGGAGTGGGTGTTTGGGGGCAACCGCATCCTGTATAGGGAAAATTGCCTTTACGGACAATCCCATGTCTCCTCTCTACACGCTGAAAAAAGACGTTTGCCAGGTTTACCTAAAATCCGATGTGGACGCGATTCTGTTGGACAAGGTGTATTGGATACTGGGGGATCTAATGATCAAATATGACATTAATCTAATGACGTATTGGCAGACCATTCGACTGAAAATGGAGGATGCAGTCTTGCAACTTGGCATTTTTGAAGTCGACTGGTGTCAGGCGTTACTGCTGGCTCCAAGGATCGCTTGTTTTGTGCTTATGCTGATTGTGAATGCATACATGATTGCGTCTTTCTTAAAGGGGATGAAAGACTCTGGAAGCGTCGTTGGAACTGCGCTTTCATCTGGGGCGAATTTTGTATTCTCGGCACTGTATGGTTACATTTTATGGGGAGAACGATTCTCACAAACCTGGTGGATGGGATTCGCTACAGTCATGGCGGGGGTCTTTCTCCTCACTACGACGGTTGCTACCACAGATTCGCCACAGAGAAGAAGAAAAGCCAGTGGGCTGGACAAGAAAAAGAGACCATCGCCCGTCACAACTACAATCTATGAGCGGAATGAAAAGGATGAGTTTGTGCCCAAAAAGCTACCACTGAACGAGTACATTAAAGCGGCAGGTCCCAAATCTCCACCCGCCACACCACCTCGAGTTGCATTGACGCCCTCCAAGATTCTAGGCCCTTCTCGAAAGTTGCTAAAGAAACACAAACAAATGACGACTCCCTTTATTGATCGATTTTTCATGAATGAATGCCCACTCTGCCAACAGCCTCTCTTTGATGATAAAACTGGATTGTCCGCGACGGCACTGGCCAACCTTAGTCCACAGTGTTCCACTGCTTACCATGCCAAGTGTCTGATACAGCATTGTGCCCAAATGAAAAAAGCAAAACAGGAAGCCTTGTGTGTGGTGAGCCACAAACCAATCAGCTTGTGGACCAGAAGCAAACAAGCGGCTAGTCTGGGAGCCTTTTGGATGGAGCGAGTCGAAGGAATTCTTCAACAGTTGGGTCCGGCACAAGACGAGGATGGCGATCGACCTATTTCCATGACAGTGGTGCGGCAAAAGTTACACGAGGATCCAACACTCACGGACCAACAAAAAGAATACATTGATGACGATCCATCGGGCCTGGACAAGGGACTAGCGTCATGTATTACCTGGGGAGGATCAGTAGACTACAATGACTGTGCCAAAGGCCATAGTGACTATAAAAAGTTTCTGGTGACAGAGGGAATATGGCAATATGACGCACGAAGGGATGAGATTTGGTTCCATGGATGGGGCTTACACCCAAAGAAGAGATGCGATTTCTGTCAATCCATGATGCCGATCACATTTATGTGTGATGAAACCAAGGGATCCTGCGAAGGTTTAGCGTATTGCTCTGAAAAATGTCAAAAAAGTGGATTCAAACGACATAAATTGACCCGCGAAATATGGAAAGAGAAGGGACCCAAGTTTGCGTATGTGGGCTGGCAATAGTAAAAGCCAAATTCAGCACGAGAAAGGAGGGCATCACTGGCATCGAAGAATGAATCAATCAATCGTCATCATCACTAGAATTGTTCCGGGATTATTTTGACGCAGGCAGTTGCTTTCAGCGGTATACAGTAAATGCATCCATCCTGACCCAAAACACCACCTATGAGGGAAACGAAGGGGTCAGTTTCAACAACATACGCTGACCATGAAGTATAGAGAGGAGACCTAGAATAACCTACCTTCGAATTTGTCTTTGACTGATAGCATATTTTCGCCGCAGGGAATCAAATCAACGTGATCCTCACCATCAGATGCACCACCAGGGACAATCCGAAGTACACCAATGGCTCTCTGTGGAATCCCGTACAAACACCCGTCTCGACCGCAGAATCCGTTCTGAAATTTATTGATGCCGTCTAGTAGGGAAGGCCCAATTAATTTTAATTCATCCGTGAGACAGTCTACCCGAAGAACTTGTTCTGCGTCGCAAGGAAAAAGATACGCGTAGCGCTTATCCATGCTTAGTGCGCCACCTTGGAACGAGACGCAAGAAAGGATGGGTCAGTTTCATCAAAAGGTGACCGTTTACGGAATAAAGCATAGAAACTACTTACCTAGCCATTTGTAGCGCCCGTCTTGAGGAATTCGGTGTCGACCCGACTTGACTAGTGAAGGGTCTCGAATCGTATAGACCGTAGATTTTTTGCAATCGACAACCAAGACTCCGTCTGAGTTGTTTGGAAATCCAATGATCTTGTGGCCTGCCACTAAGCCACCGTGCCATTTCCATTTTCCTTCCGGCAGAGGTCCATCGGTTCCTTCGATCAATGACACTTCATCGGTCTCTGGGTTGATCTTCAATACTGTTGTTGCATTGTGCGCTATTCCGTAAATGCAACCATCCGTCGGGGACAGTAAACCTCCATACCATTTCTGTCCTCCACTGAGGACTGGACCAATGGCATACGCTTCATCAGTAGATGGGTTAAGTTTGACAACTCGAGGAGCATTGGCAGGAATACAATATATCCAACCATTTGGGGCAAGATTGCCCCCATGATAATACCACCCATTGACCCCGTCGCAAACTTCTTCAAGTAGTTTCTCTCCAAACGTATAAACCTCGGACTTTCCACCAGCTGGATTCACTTTCAAAAACGATAGGGAGTTACAGGGTAGAGCAATGCAGCAGCCATTTGGATAGTCATCGTTCTTCATGGCGCCAGCCGGAACTTCGACACCCCGTAACCACTTGAATTTGCCTTTGTATGAGGGCCCAATACAGTCCATTTCCCCTGTCTTTGTGAAAATTCGCACTACACGACGGGCCGTCCCAGGGACACCATAAATATATCTACCACAGGGCGATGACATACCCCCCAAGTATTTGTCGTTACCTGTGGTCACATTCGGATCATTGCAAGTCAGCTGTACTGAATGCGCATTGCAAACCTTTTCAATCTCGGCTGGAAGCAAAATGTCTTCTCCATCGCGAAAGCAGACGCCTCGGATGGCTGCCTGGTTCATTTCTCTCTCCCAGTTGTCTGCATCATATGGAAGTAAGCCATACAACTCAGCCTGTCTGCGAGTCACAAGCGGTGGACTCGCTCGAAAATAAGATCGACACAGAGCATTGGAAAGTTGTAAAACTTGACTTTCATCATGCAGGTGGAATGTGCCCGTCCTTCTCGTCTTGTAAGATTCAACTTTTTGGTTCAAAATAGACTTTTCTTTGTGTTTGTTAGTCACTGGTACCATTGTGTTGTACGCCACAATTGGAACATCCTTAAAAGATGAAACTTCTCGTGGGAAGACATATAATTCGTCCACCATAACATCCGAACGAAAGAGAAGGACATCTCCAGAAGAGAGTCTTATTTCTTGAATCTCCCCATTGTCGATTGTGAAATCAATCGAAGTTCCCATGCCACTGGAAACGACGGTAATTGAACGAAACAGCAGCTGATCAATTTTCTCATTTTGGTTGCAACACGTTTGAGTCTTTTGAGTTGCGACCATTCTGAATCCCTCCTTAGAACAGTGTAGATCTCTCGTTGACAATAACGGTTCATATATTTTCGCAGCCAAAACTTCGCGTATATCTCCAAGCAGCCAACCAGCGCCAAATGCTTCGAATAGCCCCTCCTTTGGATAGGTCGCCCCACCCCACGTTGATGAAAGATTCCTCTTGACGGCACCATTCGAAACATCTTCATAGAAACTCCATACTCGGTCAAAACTGGAACTACAAAGTTCAGCTGAGAGTACATTCCGCAGAATTAAATACCCTTTGGTCTCAGCATCTTTGAGATCTTTCATGCTGAAGCGTGGTTGAAGTGATGGCTCCCTTTCAACTTTTGGTTTTTGGTTTTGTATTGAGATGGGCATGTCAATCATGAGTTGGGAGTCTTGTTTGACTGAAATGACCCGAAGATCCAAAGATCGCAGGAGAACTTTGACTGTTTCATTTTCCTTCTTCCAATGCTTTTGCTTTGACTGTTAAGATGACGATTCCAAAAATCTTTACCCTAGACGACATCAACAAAGTCATATCCACTCCAGAATTTGAACTCAAGCTAATCGATGCCATGCAAACTGGATTTGTGAGCCTTGAAAATGGGGACTTCTTTGCCTGCCCCATCCAGACCATGGGTCTGCCGCCATTCCCCTTTGTCGAAATTGATGGATACGCCAGTCAAACTTGTGTCAAGTCGGGTTATTTCAAAGGTGGAAAATACTATGTCATAAAAGTTGCTAGTGGTGGGTTCCCTCAGGAAAATTCAGGTCTAATGCAAGTTTTCTCTCAACAAACTGGGAAATTGGAAGCTCTGTTGTTGGACAATGGTATCTTGACGGAAGTAAGAACTGCAGCCGTCGGTGCACTATCAACTAAGCTCCTGGCACCAAGGGAAATTACTTGTATTGGTATAATTGGCACTGGTATACAGGCGCGATTCCAGCTCGGAATGTTGGCCTCCGTTACTTCGTGCCGAAAAGTACGAGTCTGGGGGAGGTCCGAGGACAAGGCGAAGGTCTTCCAACAAGAGATGAGGGCAAAAGGCTGGGAAGTGGCAGTGGTGAAAAAGGCAGATGAGCTGTTTGATGAATGTAATCTCATTGTTACTACCACTTGCGCGAGGGAACCTGTACTTGGAGAGGCTGCCCTTGACAAATTGAAGGATCGCAAATATGGTTTGCACATCACCTGCATTGGGGCCGATGCCCCGGGAAAAATAGAGCTCGATCCAAATCTTGTGGCACAAGCTGATCTGTTGGTAGCAGACACTGTCTCTCAAAGCGTGGAGCGAGGAGAGTACGAACAAGCTGTAAAGGACGGTCTTGTTCAGGAATCAAAGATCGTGCCACTGGGAAAGTTCATCGGATCGCCTGAAGAGCATCGGAAACAGGATGACGTTCGATTGACAATTTTCGATTCTTCCGGTGTTGCTCTGCAAGATTGCATTGTGGCTCAAATGACGTACGATGCTCTGAAAGACTTGAAGTATATGGTCAACTAGAACAAAAATAGTAGTCTCTATTGTACATTTACAAAAGCGCTTTACTCTACAGCAGTTTCATTGTCCAGCCGTCGAATTTCGTTTGCGATAAAGGCCAACAAATCACCCGCGGAGACTCTTTGGTCCGGGTCTTGCTTCCAACAAGCATATATCGACCTGATGAGCGCTTGCGTATAGGGGTCAGTCGAATTCTTGTATTTGGCATCAATCATCGGCCGCCTGCCTTGCTTGACCAGCCCCCTGATCGTCTTCGCAGGATACTTTTCGGCTTCGAACGGAAACAGTCTTGTCAAAACTCCGTAGAGGATGTTGCCAATGGAATACACGTCCACCTTTTCTGTTTCCGGTTCATAGTTGAATTCTTCCGGCGAACGGAAAATCCCAGGATTACTGCCGATGGTAAATGGACACGGCGAGTTTGTTTTCTTGTTCCAAGGAATGAAACGGCATCGATTGAAATCGTTGAGTTTGAATATTCTGCTCTCCTGAACGTAGACAAACTGTCCAGGAGCTATATCAGTGTGTGCGATTGCCGGTATTCCATCTTTCTCGAAGTGATGTACAGCATTAATTCCAGACGCTACTTGGTGTGCAACAACAAGCTTCTCTCGAGGTGACCATTCAGGTGCTTGTCCATAATAAGCAGAATCTTCTAGGTCACCTCCAGCGGCGAATTCAAAGAGTCCAGAGTTGCCACAAAAACCATAAATGTCCAAAATGTACGGAGATGCTGTTAGTCGTTCCATGGCTACAGCATCTCGTCTATGTCGATCGTAATTCCGAGGTGTGTAATCGTGCTCGTATCGCATAGTCTTCAATACAGTGCTTTCATTAAATTCGTTCTTGATTGTCCAGACGTCTCGCCAGTATCCGTGAGCGAGATATCGAGCATAGGTGTCTTGGGCCTTCTCATTTATATATAGGTTCGTTAGATCCTGTTCCATCAAATGGTTGCAGGAAGAGTAAAACGAATTTTGCCAGTCATGTTGCGCCACGCAGTCACCGTGTTCCAACGGTGTAGCCATGCCATTCTTGTAGTCTGCACTATCCAGCAATTCTTCTTGCTTCCGAGCGTCTCTTTTAGAATAGGGAGCTACCCCTTGTGAAGGATAGAGCCGAATGGCATTGGAATCAATTGGCTCAGCACCAATGAAGCTGTCACCAAAGTAATAGCCAAAACTTCTCGGTCGTTGTGGAAGATATGATTGTGGAACAGTCTTTCCATCGTTCCTTTTGGTCTCTGGAATGACCTGAAAAAGCACACGATGATAGATATCAATAGGCTGACTCTCTGAGACTTCTATTATTCTTGACGAGAGAAAACTGTAGCCAATGATGAAGCATATTGCGAACATGCTGAAAACTAATTCCATGGACGATCTTGTGCTTGATTTTGAGTCATTTGTTGGCCCTCCCCGCCTTATTCTCAGCCGTTTCTTATTGTCTACTAGTTCGTCTGTGGGAAACCTGGAAGGAGATTTGGGCTTTCTTCTTTCCATCACCATGGCCAAGCCGTTAATGTTGTCGTTGATGCGTTTTCTTCTCATTCTTCTCATTT